AGGGAGAAGCCCACCCCCTGGTTGCACGGTGGGGTCGGGAGGAGGGATATAGGGGTTAGGTGTGAAGGCTGGGTGCTTATAGAGCAAGCTGGTCTCATAGGGATGGAGATAAGCGATGTTTTCACCGAGTTGCATGGGGAAACTCAAAATTAGACAGGGGATAGCATCCCTGTGCACCCCGGTGGAGAGCAGGGGGGCTTTGCTGGAGACGGGGAGGGAAAGCCCTTATGAGAAAGCAGTATCCACCCGAGGAGTTGTCATCTGCAAATACTTGCAAATACCCATCCAGGGTGGTTGTTGAGGGGGTGCCGGCTCCCCCCCATGCCCTCGCTGACCCTCTGTCTGTCGGGGCGCCGTGCTCGGCACGATGGAAGGCGTCCAGCAGCGGCAGGTGGTCTGCAAGGGCAGCGAGAGCGGCGGGCGCTGCGAGGGTGACAAACCGGAGACCGTCCAGGGCTGCCATGTGGCCCCCTGCCCGGGTGAGAGGAGGAAGAGGAGGTGGTGCTCGGGGTGGGGTGGGGGGACACCAACCTTCATGCATGTCTCCGACCCGTCTCGGCTTCAGGGGGATGCCGGATAAGATTGGGTTGAGCGTCCTTGATGCTGCTGGCAGGGAAAAGGTTAAACGCCAGCCAAAATACTGCGTTTTTCTGTTCTTGGCCCTGATATCTGCTGTAGATGGTTTTGGATTTTCTGGCAGTCTGCGGATGCGATGAGCTGAGGGTACGATGGAGATGGGCACCCTGGAGTTCATCTGGGGGGTTTTTTGAGTGGCTTAAGGGCTGGGCCAACTGGGTGCTCCCCAAGAGACTTTGTTTTTAAGGAGATCCCTTAAAACAAAAAAATCCCCCCCCGCAAACACCCTCTGAAGGTATTTCAAGTGCCCCCAACCTTCCTTGGTGGCTGGGCATCGTGCTCCTCTCTCCGCAGGGAAGCTCTCCGGCATCACCGCCAGCACCGACGCCGGTGACCGCGGCACACCCAAAGGGCAGCGGGTGTCCCAGGACGGGGCCAAAAACCCTGTGAGCAAAATCTCCTCAAGTAAGTGTCCCTGCTGGGGTAAAGGCGATGCTTCCCGGGATGTCCCTGCCGAGGGTTTTCTGGAGCCCCCCGTGGGAAACGCGGGCAGGTCGGAGGGAGGATGCCCAGCCAGCAGTGGGGTTTGGGGGCAGTTTTACCCTCCGCTGCTGCATCCCCGATGCCTGTCCTTGCGAAGCCTGCCGCTCGGTTGCCATCTCGTGGAGTCTGGGATCTTGCAATTTCCACTGCGTGTTGCGTTCCCTTTACCTCCCGGATTTTATGCCCTTTCCTTTTTACCTTGAACTTTTTTTAGCCTCCTGTGTTTACCCAAGCAGGGAGATGGCTTCTGATTTTTTGCCCCTTGCTCCAAGTGAGGGCTTTGCTTACAACGCCTCATAGCTGGGGCGAGGTGTGTTGGGATCTGATTTAAGGTGCTGCTTTGGAGCATCCTTTGCTCTCTGTTTTTGTTTTTTTTTCTCCCGTGCACAGAAACCTCGAGCGCTTTGGCTTTGTTTTCCAACTCCCTCACCCCCTGCTTCCTATACAAGCATCGCCAAAATTGCTGCCCTGGGACAGAGAGCAATAGTAGGGTGGGCAGCACCCTGCAAGGGTGGTGGTGGGGGGGCACCTCGTTGGGACCATCGGAAAGGTGCAGGGGTGGGAGCCTAATGCCACCTTCATCTTCCGTGCTCTGTGACGTTGCTCTGTCCCTCTCCAGAGGAGCCTTGCCTCGGGGACAAGTCCATCTTCTGTCAGATGGAGGTCCTGGCTCGCTACTGCTCCATCCCCGGCTACAACAAGCTCTGCT